ATTAATTCATTTCGTTGCTACAAACTTCAACATCTGAGGCTAAATAGTCATATTTTAAAAGAAAGAGCATCTCTGATAAGATTTAGGTTGCGTTCCGTGCAAAAATCCTATAACAACGCATAACATTATTACCTTCAATGAATTTTCTATAGTTGGTGCTTACTATGGACGTTTTGCTGCTTTCAGTTCCCATTGTCGAATTTCGGAGCACAGATTATAACATTTGCGACGATTTGTTCATATTCCACCATTAATTATTTGTTTATCCCTATACATCAAACCACCAAACGTCAAGGGATAGATTTATTTACCCCCTTACATCAAACCGCCAAACGTCAAGGGATAGATTATTTTACCCCCTCACATCAAACCGCCATACGTCAATGGATAGATTTTTGTACCCCCTCACATCAAACCGCCATACGTCAAGGGATAGATTTTTGTACCCCCTCACATCAAACCGCCATACGTCAAGGGATAGATTTTTGTATCCCTTCATATCAAACCACCAAACGTCAAGGGATAGATTATTTTACCCCTTCACATCAAACCGCCAAACGTCAAGGGATAGATTTTTTTATCCCTTCGCGTGATCTTGTTTGTGGACACTGCCCTCTCTTGGTCATAGCTTACAACCGTAAAGACCGTTTTAGCCAATTTTTCGGCTAACTTTGACAGATTTTTGTCAAAAAACTGTGTTTGACATAAATTTTGACAGAATGAATTTTTGGGGGCAGCTTTCTGGCAGAATATTCCGCATAGATGTGGTTATTTGAAAGAAAAACATAGCAGATTTGAAGAAAAAAATAACTTACATCTGTTCATGTCTTCAGTCTTTTCAAACAAACCCTTTCAAAATTGGACAAATTGCTATGCCTGGTCTACTGCTGAGCTGAGGTTAATTCACATCATAGGGAAATGGACGTCGTGATGCAGCTGCGTTTTGCCTGAAATTAACTTAAGGCAATGTTACATTTGCATGTGATTTTAAGTGTTTATAGTGCATTTCGAGTAATTCTGGGTCATTTGGCAGATTTTTGATAAATCTGACCATGGAGGATTACTATTCATCCATGATCTGACAGATTTTTGAAGTGCATTTGGCAGAATTTGGCCATGACCTTACGGTCACCCTGCTTATAACGCGCCGGACGCGCCAGGCGAGCGCGCACACCTGCGCCCCTTCCGCCGTTCCACCATGTCCACTGGCCCGAGGAAGGACAAGTGTCCGAAGATTTGGCAAAGAATTACCGGTGAGCACTGCACTATAATGATCTTTCTTTAACTACTTCATTGGTGCTACGCAACACCCCACTTTGTTATTGATTCCCCCGTTCAATATCCATGGTTTTGTGATGCTGTATGGACAGTGCTGAGTGATGTGAGGACAGCCCTTCGCGATTTTAGGATTTGTTCTATCTGCTTTGATCAGCCGCTGGCGCGCATGACGTACGTGATTAATTTCATCTGATGTCCGGGCCGACTGAAATTAATTGTTACCGCGACACTTACTTGTCTTTGGGCACATGATTCATGTCCATGGGTTAATCCAGTATCAAACATGTCAAACGGGTGAAGAACAACTCAACAAGGTAATTAAGTATTGCATAAGTTAAATTTTAAAAGCATGTCATTGTCAAGGGAGACCCTAGCCCCATAAATGTGGCTTATTTACTGGACTGCCTCCGTAAGCAGTACATTAAATAGGCCACATTTATGGGGCTAGGGAGACCCATATACTAGGCCTACATCATACATGATATAATGATAATATGCATGATCTGCAGCTCTGACTGGTGTACAATGTACTTCATTTGTTGTTCTTGTGTGCACAGTACGTACCATGGCAGGCGGTAGACATGGTCAACATGCGGCTATTTATAATAGAAATATGCATCATTACATGTTTTGGAAAAAATGTCGCAACCTGATGGCACTTTTTTTCTCACATCATCTAAATGAAGGTCTGCAGTCATTGCAAAAATTATGATAAGACGTAAATCTGGGCCTGACAAATATTTCCAATTTTGTTCGGAAAATTTTCTTGACTCATCTCCATAGACTTTTGTACACAATCGCGGAAGTGGCGTCAGGTTGCAACATTTTTTCCCATGTACATGTATGTGTATGTAGTATGCTGCTACAGACTTCAACTTGAAAATTATATAAGACTGGCCCATAACTACATGGATATGTCAGCGCTATAATTACATACATGTACGTGGATAGGCAATGCATGACACATACAATACATGCATACATAAATACACACACCCAGACACATAGGCCTATGCACATAAATATACATGTGTGCTATTAATACAAGTTCAAGTTTGATTCTTCTTACATTTATAAGTTTTAAGGAATTACACAGCCTGCATATAGAGCACACTTCCATGGCACTAGTGTTTTTTCAGATTCTGATTGTGAGTTGAAATTCAACATGTTCAAGAATCAAGTGGCTGCATGTCGATGCCCAATTTATGTTACTGTAACCATTAGAGGAACTGAACCAAACAAGTAGCTTGAGTAACTCCAGCTCTAACATGTCTAATGCTCATCTTGATCTCAGTTGAACAACTGGAACTACAAACTGTGAATTAGAATGGGTCAAGGTTAAACTCCATGGGTACTACTGATCGGATGTTTCTACATGCCTCATTGAAATGCTAGTGACATCAGTGAACTCAGCAGATTGTTGAAAAAACTAACTAAAAACGGGCTTTCAGACAAGCATATCATCCTCGCCGGAGATTTCAATTGCCCGAACATTGATTGGGACAATTGCACTGTTGACCTAAGAAGCAGGGACACGCACAAAACTGTGCTGTATAACATCGTCCACGCACTGTCCGCATCTACATGATCTACCAGAAATCACTTGACTCTGGCGACCTACCTACAGACTGGCTGAATGCCGACATATCATGTGTGTTAAAAAAAGGGGATAAACACCTCGCTGAAAACTATCGGCCTATCTCCCTAACGTCTGTGATATGCAAACAGCTTGAGCACATCATCTACAGGCAAATCATGGCACACCTGACCATGGTCCGCAGTGGCTACTCATACAAAACCAAGCTCATTGTTACAGTTGATGATCTACTCAAATCGTTGGACACAAAAAAGCAAGTCGACATAGCCGTACTGGATTTTTCAAAAGCATTCGACACCATACCTCACAGAAACAAACTATACCAAATACCATACAAAGTTCCATCGCCATAAACTCCAAGTGCTTCAAAGTATTCTGGTGCAACACAGATCAACTTAAAAACTCATTCTGTAACACATCAAATATAGACAGGAACCATCTTGAGGAAAACTTTGTTCAAGCCGACTCGGTCAAGAGGTTTAAAACCTTCCTCGGCCACGGACCTCACTCAATGTAACATCCCAGCGTACACCCTCTCTCTCCGTTGCGTTAATGCAGACAGACAGACAGATGTCCTATTTTGCTAGAAAAAAAAACTCAAGTCTCCATAGACATGATAGAATTTGTATACAACCAAAGAATTGTCAGGATATTATTTTCAGTCTGCTGTGAATGATGCCTTGCAATAGTTGTTAGATTCAGTGTGAAAGCATAAAATGGATTCAGATACATTTACACAATTTACATGTAGTTAAACAAAAAAAAGGCACAATCAATAAGCCATTTGTGAGTTAAATTTGAATAAACTCTGGATCGCTTTCTTAATCCGCTGCTGTGCTCAAGTTAATTTTGCATTCACGCGACCAAAGAGACTGTTTACTATATCGCAGGATTCAGGCAGTAGACCATAATCAAGAAATAATGGAGGAATATGCAGGATTGAGGCTATATGCTTTTTTCCATGAGGCCAATACGGGCGATTCACAATAGTGCACCTCCAAGAGTTTGCAACGCGTTGGCCAATCACAATGCGCGAAATCAATCGACCTTTTCCAAACGCGCATTGGGTCGACAGATTTTGCACAGTGTGATTGGCCAACGCGTTGCAAACTCTTGGAGGCGCACTATTGTGAATCGCCCGTATTGGAGGATCTTACAGGAATGAGGCTACATCCTAGCAAAAAGGCCTAGGGAGTTAGGGTTAATGACTGGTTAAAATCTTTTATAAATTATTAAAGCTTTATGGAACTGCAAAAAGCAAACTTTCTTTATGGTAAACATATTGGTGTTTTTTTTTATTCTTTAGGAAACACGAGTGATGTCAGACGCCTTGTCACATGTGCTGCCTGACTCTCTTCCAGCTCAACTGCAACGCAGTTGCGACCTCCCAGCAGACACGCTACAATCCCTGTTCCTATTTTGCTAGAAAAAAAACTCAAGTCTCCATAGACATGATAGAATTTGTATACAACCAAAGAATTGTCAGGATATTATTTTCAGTCTGCTGTGAATGATGCCTTGCAATAGTTGTTAGATTCAGTGTGAAAGCATAAAATGGATTCAGATACATTTACACAATTTACATGTAGTTAAACAAAAAAAAGGCACAATCAATAAGCCATTTGTGAGTTAAATTTGAATAAACTCTGGATCGCTTTCTTAATCCGCTGCTGTGCTCAAGTTAATTTTGCATTCACGCGACCAAAGAGACTGTTTACTATATCGCAGGATTCAGGCAGTAGACCATAATCAAGAAATAATGGAGGAATATGCAGGATTGAGGCTATATGCTTTTTTCCATGAGGCCAATACGGGCGATTCACAATAGTGCACCTCCAAGAGTTTGCAACGCGTTGGCCAATCACAATGCGCGAAATCAATCGACCTTTTCCAAACGCGCATTGGGTCGACAGATTTTGCACAGTGTGATTGGCCAACGCGTTGCAAACTCTTGGAGGCGCACTATTGTGAATCGCCCGTATTGGAGGATCTTACAGGAATGAGGCTACATCCTAGCAAAAAGGCCTAGGGAGTTAGGGTTAATGACTGGTTAAAATCTTTTATAAATTATTAAAGCTTTATGGAACTGCAAAAAGCAAACTTTCTTTATGGTAAACATATTGGTGTTTTTTTTTATTCTTTAGGAAACACGAGTGATGTCAGACGCCTTGTCACATGTGCTGCCTGACTCTCTTCCAGCTCAACTGCAACACAGTTGCGACCTCCCAGCAGACACGCTACAATCCCTGTTCCTAAGGATGGAAAAGTGAAGAAATATGACTTATGTAAGAGTATTTTCATTGACTGACTACTTAATAAACTTTGTATAAGGACACAATATTGGTATTAAAAACCAACGTGAACGCTGCATGAGGTTAATTTTCTGTTAAATTCCCTTTCTGTGGAAAACAACACTTGAAAACAACACATATATTCACTGCAAAGCAGATTTTTCTAATGGTATTTTTGGATAGTTAACGCAAGTTATATGGTGTCCATTTTGCACTTGTGCATTCTTCTGCAAGTATAAAACAAGGCAATTATGAGCTGCCTGTAGTCTGTCAATGTATCCATTTGTTATTAACATTCAGTTGAGAAAAATGTTTGAAGGGAGAAATAGGTTTGTCACTTATAAAGTGGACACTAGCCCTTCAATTAAATTTTCTACAAAACTGCAGGCAGCTTCATAATATCAATAACATTACTTGAGACACTTGAGATGTTTCTATTAATGAATACTTTTGCTACTCTTTTAAACATCATGGCATACCAGTTTTAGTTGCTGACTAGAAGTTCAATATTAAATTACATTTTCTGCACATCATTTACCTGTTCCACTACAGGCATCAAGGACCCAGCCTTGTTTGGGTGACATGGCGTCCACAATGTCTTGAAGCAGCTGGAGGGGCTTCTGATGTACATTCACTGGAGACCCGTTGTCTGTCTTGGCCAAGGTCCATGGCTCTTTGATATCAAAGAAGTTGGACCGTGGCCTTGTCAGCTGGTCATCAGTTGACACCCGGCCACTTGCTGACCAGAAACCGCAAACCAGTGCTCCAACATCTTGTTGCAGGACGGACCGAGGAGCATTGTCCTCTTGCACACTTCCTGCATAGAGAGAGGTGAGAAAAAATGTGTTTTTTTTGTGTCCAATTTCACTCTCTGTCCCTCTCCCTCCCTTCTTGATTGCCATATATGTCTATATTATTATGTCTTAGCAAACTTGTACCCTGGATACCAACAACAGTGTGATATACTGTCTCACACAGTACATATTGCACCCTGCGTATTGCACTATTCCATTTCCAAGATGTGTGTGACATTCCAGCTGCATGTGCTAAACCACTAAAAGGATTGTAAAGCAAGCTAGTTCCAACTTTACTGCTCGTCAAGTTGCTTGAAGATAAATGGTTATCACGCTCGTGCTTGTGGTATGTGGCACAAAAAAACACTACTTATTCCATGTTCGACTCGCAGGATAACCAATAATATAGACACATAATATTACAACCACATGATGATTAAAACCACAAGTATACATGTAACCTTTGGAAGACTCTTTAACGTCATGAGTTATACCTTTGGCCAAAAATACAATAGTTCTTTTTCCGATTACATGGCATTCGAAAATAGGGTTGGTAGGTAGGGAATTTTTTTTCTTCCAATTTTTGTTGTGTACTATCATATGGAGGCATGTGCGTGTAGTCAAGGGTAAAAGGTAGAAATTGATGTTTTTTTTTTTTTTTTTTTCTTCATTTTCTTCAAATAGGGTAGGGGCTGTTAGAATAGGGTAGGTAGGGAAAACAAGCAGAACTATATATGTTTTGGCCTTAGGGAGACATGTGGTATTAGGGAGATATTTCAATGTTTACCCAATGCCTCAGTTCCTATTGAGAGGCAAAATTGTATAGGCTAGAAGGATTGCTCATGGTCCAATTAGTAAAAAGACCAAAAATTGTGAGGTAGAATGAGGTCAAATCATTAGGGTCACAAAATTATTTTTATTATTTGTGCTCAAGTCTATGGGTATGTCTCCCTAATTCACAATTATCAGTAATTGTTATTGTGAATATTCAAGTGTCATGCATGTGTGATATATGTCCTTGCTAAGCAGTAATGGAGGACAATTAGAAACATGCATGCGGCTGTAACATTTATTGAAAACAATTTTCATGTAAATGTAATGTACCTTTTCGGTAAAATGCATGTTCCACCTTGCAGAACGTCTCAGAACTAAGCACACGATGTATTTCTGCTTGCTGGCTCAAAGAGCACAGACAAACGATGTTATAGTGGGTGAGGGTGGACAGCTGTACATTTATGTAGCGCAGCATTATGCAGAACCTCTGAAGGTCAGTCACTGTCCAAGTCTGTAAGAAAAAAGTACTAATCATCACAGTTTGACAAATATTATGGCTTGAGGGTATCACCCATTCAATTAAGCCACATTTAGAGATCTATTTTGTGCATGCAAATTATTTCCTTGTTGATGAAAAGACTTGTTCACTAAAAATTTTCCTTATTCCTGGGGCAGATTAGAGAAGTCCTCTAAATTTCTAATGACTGCTTTCTGGGGTCTATTGTCCCTATTTCTGCACACGAGAAACCATGTAAGCAGAAACAAATTCTGCCCCATAAGGAAAAGCTGTGTATTTCAGAATTTAATACAGAACCACATGTATGCTGTGTACATGCTACATACATTTATGGGCTTATTGAACACAGCACGGATACATGTGATACAATGTACAATGCATACATACATGTCCAGATTTTTGAGTCGGTCGGGTGTAGGCAACACAACAATATTTTGTTTTGGAACATGTACATGTATGAAATAACCTTTACTGATTGTGGACAGGAGTCCATATGAGGAGTCCATGTTTGAAAAATGTGTACAAAACAGATGGGAGCCCTAGCAGAAAAGTGAAGTATGAACTAATAAAAGAGGAACAGTAGGAAATTCTTGGTTAACACCGTATAAAACATTGGATGTATGTGTGCATTTTAAGGAATTGGGGAGTTACATTTCTTTACCTCTGGAAAATCAAGAATAGCCAAATGAAAGCCAGAGAAGTTCTGTGTTCTTTGCTGCATGATGTTATCATCTAACTTGAGGACGTCCATATTCCATATGTATCCTTTGCAGTTTCCGTCAGGGCCTATGAAGGCATCTGCAACTTGGCTTTCATGGACAGCAGCAGTAGTAGACTCTCGTGCAGCTTTAGCATAAGCAACAAGGGCAGCAGGCCTGTTACCATATTGGTAGTTGTACTTCAGAAAAGCAGACAGCCGCTCCCTCGAAGTGTGGTTTGGATACTTCCGCTGAGCCTCATCCCATGACTTCAGGTTCACCTCACGGAGGAATGCTTCCTGAACGAGCTGCAGAATGGACATTTGGGTGAGATCATAAATGTATTATTGGTAATAATCATGTTTTGGTGATGTTGATATATTTCAAGTAATATACTTCAGTTAAGAAAAGCACGAGTGTACAAAACCATCAGACATTGTTCTTCTGAACTACATGTCCCCAAGTTACATTTTCCACAGCAGTTAAACTGTCCACATGCACTCTGTGTAATACGCCATTCTAAGATGTGTGCGCCATTTTGTACAACACGGAATTGTAATAGGATAACCATCTACGGTACAGCGTGCCTGTTCCATCTTTACTGCATGTCAAGTTTGCTTGAAGATAAACTTGTCCCACTTGTGCTTATGGAATGCGGAAAATGTAGTGCGTCTGTCTCCCACATACCACTTGGCCTTCGGCCTTGTGGCATGTGGGACATGAACAGGCGTGCTTCATTATTCCGTGTTCCACTCGCACGAATAACTAATAGGCCTATTTGACTGTTTTTATCATTGGTGTTGTTAATTTTGTGCTTTGTTGTTTATGTTCATGAGGAAGGAGAAATGTGTTAAAAAAAAATTCATACCTTCAACTTATGCAAAACTTTCGTTTCACATTTGAAGGACGCAACATCCATCTCTCCTTTGTTGAGCTGTTCCAGAATGGGCAGTTGAGTGGACTTCTCCAACAACAGGAAATTCCTGAACACGTTTGGCTTGATGTCTGCTCTTCCTGTGTGGCGTTGACTTGGATCAAGCCTCTGACCTTTCAACTCCCCATTTTCAGCCAGTTTCAGCACTTCATCCATGAGTTTTGCCACTTCAGTATCCAGAGACGAAAGTTGCTGCAATATTGAGACATCCATCTTGGCCTAATAGGAGGAGGTAAGTGCATAGTTAAATAAAGAAGTTTCTCAATGCATTCTCCTGAATACTGATTGTGCAAACAATGATTTTCGTTGATGGCAAACAAAAAGAAAGAGCCTACAGATCAACGTTTCCCTTTCACATTCTTATTTCCAACATCCAGTTTCTATCACATTCCAAAGTCATTTTTTTGGGGGAGGGCCATGTTGGGGGAAGGGGGGGGGACATGACTGTATGCGCTAAAGGAAGCTCCATATACCAGCCTCCACTAAATTGGTTTACATAAAAATTGCATGACTCTTGTAATAATAATAAATCAAAGATGTAATAGCATCCGGTTTATTTATTTGTTATTGTAAGAAGAGACATTTTATTTCAGTTATTTAAATTGTAATGTGAGGCTTGGCACACACTCTGATCATAGAATAATTCAACACCTAACAAAACATATTCAGGGAGCAGGATGAAAAAAATTGCTTAGTAGACCATAGCATTAAGAATAAGGTCTAATAATACGTACCTTTTCCTTGAGGATCATGTTGCACATTTTCTTTCGCTCTTCTTTCTTAAAATTCTTGCAGAATGCAACCTTTTTAAATATAAATTTGGAAAGTGTGTGATTAGGCATTCTCAGCAACCAAGGAAAAAGGGGCAGGTAGATGCTGGAGAGGCTGCTGCGCTGGCAACCAATCGGCTAAAAACTCATGAACTTTTGGGTGTGGTATGTTTCCCAGCAGCTAGTGTGCCCCCTCTGTGTTGGGGCCATAAAGCTTTATTAAATAACTAGAGCACTAACTCATGTGCAAAGTGATGCCTGCTGGGCGCATCCATGTTTGTACACGAACCTATGGAGAACTAGAAATTTTGTACGTATTTTGTACGTCTATCTGCGTTTGTATTCCATACCGGTGCGTCATCGAAGCTGATAGGCCCAAAACGCACGATCATTAAATGAGCGTGTCATTTTGCTCTATGCAAACAGAGCAACATGCAGATGCAGATACTTTTTGCCGTGACGTATTTTGACCCTTCATGGCGCATTTAAGTTGTTTGCGTATGTTCTACTTGTGCGTTGCATTTAGAGTACACTTTTAAAATTAAATCCATCTATTTTGATTGTGTTCTACAAACATGCACATAAATTCAAAATGTCTGCGCCCAGAGCGGCTTCAAAGCGTCTCTGTGCGCAAGAATGAGGAGTTAGCGCTCTAGTTATTTGATATAGCTCTATGGTTGGGGCCGATTCAAGGTGCACTAATGAATAATTGTCAGTGAAAAGCAATCTCATAATTGCTTTGTTTTCATTTTGTTTAAAGCAGTGAAGACAATTTCCTGGAACATAATGAGCTTTATAGGCCTACCTTGTCTTTCAGGGTCATCGACTTGTGGAATGCATTGGTCTCGTTGTGTCGGTGGGACAGCCACATTGAGAGATCATGTGTCAGGTCTGCGTAGACTACGCACCAACGGGTCTCAAGAGTTGGATCCTGGCCTCTCATCTGTCTACTGGCTGTTACTAGATGCTGTCCTCCCAAAACCTGGTACTCATAGTCATCCACCTTAGGTACATAATAATAACACAGAATTAACAAGGTTCACTTTCGCATTGTGCTCTGCGTTTACTGAAATTTGCAGTCTGCCCCAATGTTAAACTGTAAGAAAATGCTCATTCTGGAATAACTCTCAGTGCATGGATTTGTTTAAAAAAAGTTTGATCAATCTGCTCCAGAGAAAGCCATGGAAAGTTGGGACTTAAATGTTTTTTTAATCCAAGTGTCATCTTTATGGTCTTCAACTTTTACACGGGATAATTGATAAATTGAATATTCTCAGAATTGGATTATTGAAAGTTCTGATATCGATGGTGCTTATATATGTATATGAAGCACTTTGCTAGCTTTATTCTATTTCGTACCCTCTTTGCATTGAAGTCTCCCTTTGTAATATTCTGAAGAGCAACACAGACTGGCTGGTAAGCCTCATCAGTGAATTCTTGCATCTCTTTTTTCAGTGCCATGACATAGTCTTCATCAATGGACCTTACTTGAACACCAATCTTCAGCCGATCTATCTTTATCTGGAAGTGGCCTGTAAAAAATAAAGGTTAGTGATTAAATGTTAATTCTTGATCAAACATGCAGTTGAAATGTTACAGATGTTTTATGTTGTAGCGGCAAATAGCTGACAGTTCATTTTTTTGTAGGGAGTACTTTCCAAATATATGCTAACTTTTTAAGCTGTTGACCATGACAGCTTGCCAAACATCAACTAGCCTAATTGACAGGTAATTGAATAAATAGAAACAAACAATTTTTGATCGTAAAAAATTACATTTATTTACCTAAATAGTGCTGCTTGATTTCCTTCTCGAAGTCTGTTGCTTCAGCTGTTTTCATTTTCTTCCTGGGCTGTCCAGAGCTGTTATTGGGTTGCTCCTGTGAACTGAATATAACAGTTTTGTTAAAAGGCTATTCCTTAGATCTAATGATCTGAAGAGTTGTCTCAACTGTGTTTAAGGAATGGTGTGTTCGTGTCCGAATTTCTGTAACATGCACACATTTTCAAAAGTTGGACATCATAGTGTCTAAATAATGCTCAAATTGTCTCCAAATCAAACTGAAAAACATTAGCTATTGCTAGAACACCAGAGAGATCTCTGTGTTCTTGTAGTTAAAATAAGGGATTAAATGTGTGCTTGGCTAGTTTTAAACAAGCCCTTTTTAGACCATACTGGTTGGGGGAATGAACACTGATAACAGCCTGAGCCGAAAGCAAGAGATATTATTAGCAGACACAAGGCCCCCGGCTGGTTTAAATGGACTTGTTTTATACCTGCCAAGCACACATTTATTCCGATTCATAAATACATTTTCGGTCGAAGAGTCAAACAAGTCAAAAAAAAATCAACCTCAACAAATGTGCGACGGTATGTCGAGTAGTAATAACCAGATTTTGAAATGAGTCAAAGTTTTGTGTGACACTGAAAAAGTGTTTACGACCAGCCAGGTATTCTTTTATCATAGGAATAGGTAAACTGCCTCATGTATTTATGAATCAGTGGTAAGTGTCAATATGTGTGTCCATGTTTTCATATTTTCATAAAATCTTTGTTACCTTTCTTGGGTAGATGACCTGGAGGAAGCCTCTGGAGATGCCACCAGCTCTTCAGTTACATCCATGTCCTGATCGCTGTCAGAACTCTCATCTGGAAACATTATCTCCTTGAACTTTCCGACAAAGCCAACGGCAGTGGTCTGTGCTTTAAAGATTCTACTGAACTGTGTTTTACTCCATTCAAAACTACTCCTTGATAGTACTTGGGACTTATCTTCTTTCCCACTGAATTTGATCTGAAATTATTACGAAAAAGAAAACGAAAAATCAAAAAAGAAGTTACTTTCTGTTCTGCATCCGGTTACCCTACCTAGGTAGGGTACAGGTAGGGTACCTACCCTATTCTGACATCCCCTACCCTTATTTTTTGTACGGAAAAAAAATGAGGGGGAAAAAAGGACCCAAACCATTAATTTATACCTTTTACCCTTGACTACACGCAGAATGCCATGTAATCGGAAGCAGAACTCTTTTTTTTTTTGGCCTGAGTTTTGTGTAAAATAACACCTCAGGGCTACAGCCCCCCCCCCCCCAAATGATTCCCATTGTAAAGGTTAAGGATTGCAGTATTACGAAAAGAAGGAATGCCCCCACCTCAGGAGCGATATTGATATCAGAGAAAATTATGTATCTTGTCAGTTTATAAAGAAATTTTTAGAGAACTTTGAATTTAGTTAGTGATTTTCATAGGATGGTCAATGCAAGGTTTTTTGCACTGTATAATCAAACAAATGATGAATTGGCTATGAATGCTAGATTTATTGCAATGTTGGAATGCAAGTTGGATTACTTAGCTCATGTAGATAGGGTGGTACTGTAGGACTTAATTACATGTATATTGGTTGATTGCCTCTTCAATCTTATTTTTGCCCCTGATGTTTCCCAAATTTAATTAAAGCACACATGAATTAGAATGAAAACATGTAAATATTACAAAGCCTACATGTTAATATTACACAACACTGAAAATACACAACACCACACACTTGTTATGTCCTGTGCAGTATGAGTTGTAAAGTATTTATGTGTGGTATTATTTTTAAAAAAGAAGAAGATGTGTTGGTCATTATTAGTTTTTTGTGTGATATTGGCATGCTTCTGTAATAGCTCAGATGTGTTGTTATTGAAGGTGAATAACCATATATGTTTTTTTCACTGGATGTTTTAGTACAGTAGTATTTGGAATGTTCAAATTGATGTTATTTAATTTGAGCTTTTCTTAACCTATGAAATGCCTAGGACATGATTTGTGGGAGGGGTGCATGCACTTCATGCTCAAGGGTGCATACACTACATGCTCAGTGGTGTGATACGCGGTTGGGGGGGGGGTGTCATGGCCCCCTTCCCTCTCTCCCCCCCCCCCCCACTTTTGCCCTTGGGTGCTTTTACTAGCCCCAACCTAATTATGCCACAAAATTAAAATAGTAGTTTTGCTTCCGGTTACCCTACCCTATTTTGAAACCCCCCCCCCTCTATTTTTTTTGGGGGGGGGGGGGGGCAACCCTTGACACACACAAATGTCTCCATTATTATGATCCACACAAAGAACCCCTCCCCCAAAATCCTACCCTTTTCAAATACCACGTACCTAATCGGAAGCAGAAACAATTTGTTTTAACTGTAGGCCTATCTCATACAAAAAACTTGATGAGATGAACCTATAGCCAGTGAAAACTAACATGACTAGGAGTCTAGGTCTCAGCGTATGCATGATATGTGAATTTCCTTAAACATAACAATATGTAAATTAAAATGTAGGCTGGTATTAACACAGGCATGAACGTGACGAATAATAAAATCGCTCTTAATGAGAATGTGTGTAAACCTAGCGCTAAATGTCTTCATTTCATCTTAAATAAATAAATAAGTAGCCTAGGCCTACTTCCCCATTCATGGGCGTCGCCAGGATTTTTTCTAGAGGGGGGCAAAACATATTTTTCCAAAGAAATTCTTGTATTTCTCAACATATTCTAGATTTATCAGTTTTAGAGCGGGGGGGGGGGGACATTTCCCCCCCCCCCCACCCCATTGAATTTACACCATTATGACTTCGCGCCTCTTTTTCATTTTTCTCTTTTTTTTCTTCCTTCCCCCCCCCCACCCCATTGAATTTACACCATTATGACTTCGCGCCTCTTTTTCATTTTTCTCTTTCTTTTCTTCCTTTTTTTTTTGCTTTTCCGGGGGGGCGGCACGCCCCCCCCCCCTCTTCGTGACGCCCATGTCCCCATTTATAGAACCTAGAACTCATCTACTCGCCATGATAGACTCCGACTCTCCTGACGGCATTGCTTTCAATGACATGATGTGGCCCACTTCATGCCACTGGGAGCCAAACTTGGTCTTCCTATATTGTCGAAGTCGATTTCCATGACTATCCCCCTTTCTAGGATCATTTACATGAATAAATACTTTCTCCTCTTCCTTCACCATCCACCATAGCCTACCTGGAGGCATGTTGCTCTTAAATTGCGATCTGATTATTAGGCCTAAATATACTTTCTGACTCTAGTTGCAGGACCTCAAGAAACAAGCTAGCAGTGCGAGCGTACTAGCGCATGCACATACATGCACAATAATTAATGTACTGCTGTTAATTATCATGCGTACTGCGCGTGATGCAATTTGCCAGAATATTGTTGTTTTATTTATAGTACACCGGCTCAGCAAAAATTGACCAATTTCAATTTCCCGCCTTTTCTTAATTGGGTTGCATCAATATAAAAAGAGGGGTACGACTACCTACCGTTATCAATGCAAACGTCTTCGGTGTCTTTGAGATTGCGATTTTTTTAAGTAACCCGAAGTATTCTCAGCTATCAGTTTTGTTTTGTTTCTTTGAACTTTCTTTCGTAATCATGGTCGGTCATGTAAGAAAGTGAACGGCCTTCTATGTCTACAAAAACATCACTCCAGATACAATGGTCTTTTCCAGAATCGGAACATTTCATTGGTCAGGCAAGCGCCTCTCATCTAAATAATATTTGCATTTTGCCATTCTGAAAAAAGGGATAATTTGCATATAGGGCGGTGTCTACCGCCTAAATAATGAATATGCAGCTCAGCAAAAAGTTTCGTCCAATCACAGTGACCGCTTGAAAAGAAAAAAATGGGTAAAGTAGGCGTGTCTTAGCGCAAAGCAAAAAAGAAAAAAAGAGAGTAATTTTTTTTCAGTACGACGGACATTTCAGATCGTTGGTCATGTACGACCGATACTTCAGTGGAAATTGAAACGCTGAAGGGGCTTGAATTCGGTAAGTTTTTGGCATATATAGCCTAGACAATTTCTACTACATGTATAATATTGTATTTGGGGTCGTTGAATATTTCTTTTTGTCGGAGTAGGCCTAAATTACGATAGATTTTTTTTTGTTCATTGCAGTTTTCAAGCTGGCATTTGCATCATCATGTACACACTAGCCAGCACTAGCAGTAGGCCTACCTCATCAACTCAAAGCGTTATCATCGGTTTGCAATCTAGCCCGGGCCCCTCGTCATTTTTCAGTGACATTTCCTCGGAAGAAATTTGCCAGGCCACACCGCGAGGGAGATCAAGAAATTTCAGGCTGCCCCCTAAAACATTTCACAGCTTGGTTGGTTTGAGCCTAGAAGTGTACAATACCCTAGAAGCATGTTGCAGCAACAATTGTCTCCTTGAATTCAACCCAAATGAGATCTGGTCACTCCACAGTTCTTTTCTCAATCAAAGTGAAGTCAAACAAATGTAGGGAGCTGAGATTTGAGATTTGAAATTATTACATGGATGATCCCTCATAATCAATCTTGTATTAGTTCTCCATTTTTTCTGTGTATAAAGAAACTTCACCTCAATGTAGACCGTTGCTCAGCCGTTGGTGGCATCTCTCGAGGTATAGTCTGAACTTTTACGGTGAGTCTGAAGGGCGCCACCGCAGGGCGGAGGCGGGTCATGCTAATCTCCCGCCTCCGTCATCGGTCGGTGCTCTTCGACCGCCACTCCACAGGTAACATTTTTTGCAGTTTTCTTTTCTTTTGAATTAAATATGTCATATGTCCTTAAACCGGAAAGACCAGGGAATATTTATGATATTGTAGATGGGGCGAACTGTTTCATTTTCCCTGACATTGGGGAGTTTTCATTTTACGAACTTTGGCCAAGATGGCGACCCAGTTGTCTTGCTATGGAGACCTCTCAGTGATAAAAAGTGCCGTAACTTTTCCTAGTTATTATTTTTGTCAGGAATCTAAAATTGACATGATAGTCTTGCATTTATTCTTTGATAATTGTGGTGATATGTCAGACCGGAACATTAGAGTCTTTTAAAGCAAATTCCGAGGTTTTTATGATAATTCATCGCTCGGTTTTGCTCAGTAAAAGAGCGCCCTCTTCCGAGATATTTTGTAATTCATTGCTCGGTCGTGTTTACTAAATAGCGCCCTCATTATTAAGTGAAGTCGCTAACCATGAGTTGAATGTACTTTATGCATGTAATTATGCCTGAAGAGATAAAGTGTAGCACTGAGACACCCTTATTTGTAATGAATATGGGACTCAACTATATTTGTGCCTTCCTTATTTTTGCCTTAGAGAATTTTGTACTTTCTGAATTTGCATTGTGTGACCAAATTGTCCTTTGTGCTAATTATGAGTACAAAAACATGGGTTTTGTTTTGTCAATAATGTATTTTTATCTGCCCCTTTCTGGTCTGCTATGAATATGACACTAGTAACACATGTATTTTCTGGCTCGACATGCACTTTATTGAACTCCCCTTGTATTAGAGAAATTATGTAGGTTTACATGGGTGACTTTGAAGAAATAACTGTTTCTTTTAGTTCCAACTATTTTCCGATTCATTGCTGGGTTTTCGTCATAACCTGTTCATTGCCCCCTTTAATTAAATGTATTGTTTTCCGGTGCCAGCATTAGATCATCTTACAATGTACTTATGATCCCTTTATTTTATTCCTTTCTTTCTCATGTGCTGTTTTCATGCTAATCTCCCGCCTCCGTCATCGGTCGGTGCTCTTCGACCGCCACTCCACAGAATAAATTATCAGTCAAGCCGAACCCAAGAGTGTCGTGAGCCAGTTTCCTTTGTGCATACAATCCCCATGCCCATTTGGGAGCTGTGACCTCTGACCCCCCCACCACACAAAGGCAGTACTTGTTGTCATGTTTCAATGATCAGGCTACCAAAAAAAGACTTCATCCGGATTCGTCAGAAGTCAGAACAAATTTTGTTCTAAAGGGGAGAACGGCCTGCCCCATTGCTTTCTGCCAGCTGCAGGGAGTGTCCAAACATAAATATGAGTCTGCACAGGAAGCATTCATAGAAGGGCACACTTATACCCTCCACGGAAACCAAGGAAAGTTCTGCATGAGGCAAGTGTACAAAACTCAAATTTCTGTTATTGCTAATGTTTTGTCACAAGACACTTTTTGAGAAATTTCATCGCAACTAGCCTAACTAGATTGCAGTAAATACAAAAATCGTACCATAGAATAACTCTAATTTTTCATCTTAATCTGTGAGGCCC